GGCGCTCGGCGCGTCGGCCCCGCGGCGCTTGGTTACACGCGGTGTTTTTGTGCTCCAAGGTGTCCCCGAGCACCCGGACGTGCACGTGTGTCACTGCGGGAAGGAATGTGCGTCCTACGCGGACTTCAAGGCTCACCTGAGCAGCCATATTCACAACCACCTCCCCAGCCAGGGCCACAGCAGCAGCCACGGGCCCGGGCCCGGCAAGGAGAGGAAGTGGAAGTGCTCCATGTGCCCGCAGGCCTTCATCTCCCCTTCCAAGCTCCACGTCCACTTCATGGGGCACATGGGCATGAAGCCGCACAAGTGCGACTTCTGCAGCAAAGCCTTCAGTGACCCCAGCAACCTGCGCACTCACCTCAAGATCCACACAGGTGAGACACCGGCTGGGCTAGTAAATACCCCAGGCCCGGAGCTCTTTGCTTGCGGATCCCTYCGCCAGCTGGCAGGGCGTGAGGCAGGTCCATAAAGCTCCGCTCTTGCCCCTTCCCTACACCCGTCRAACCCTCCTGCTCTTACCTGAGTGATTTCTGGTCTAGGACTAGGCTGACGTGGGGCTCTGTCATGCTGCAAAATTGAAGTCTGAATATGCTGTGGACTTGGCATTTGGATATCACTGTGGAGGTTTGGGGGATAAAGAATTGTCACAAGGTAGTGAATGAGAGTTGTGGGAGGAAAATCAAACAGGGAAAGATTTTTCAGCTGTTCAAGAGAGAGTAGGAAAGGTACGTAGTCAGTACAGACAGGATGGAGAGAAGATAGGCATGGTTCTGAAACAGGCAGTGGGGATTTCGTGCTTTGTTTGTTCAGTGAGGTTGAAAGGGCTAGTGGGAGTCAGGCTGGGGGATTCACAGAGCTGGAAGGTGCATAAAATTGGGATTTCGGTGAACTTGCCAAGCACAGGAAGCTGCAGCCTCAATAGCCAGGAGATTTAATAAACTGATTGTGTAGGTGTGGAACTGTACAGCCACAGAGTAGGAGAGTAGGAGAAGGGTTTAAGCCATGGTCAGCCTGTTAGGCTGAGTTCAGTGGTACAGAGGGGATTAAAATGCATCTGCAAAGGAACAGCAGAAGAACTATGGCTAGTAGACAATGGGATACAGATCCTGACAGCTTTCTTGATACCTCTGTCACCCGAGAGACCTCCTTTATTTAGACAAAGGCAGTGCAGGAAATCCCTCAGTTAGGCGTCACACTCCAGTTAGGCCTCACGCCAGTTAGGCGTCACACACAGTCCCAAGGGCGAAGGAGGAGAGATGAGGAGGAATGAAGCTGCAGTAACTGAATGGTCACCAGGGTTAGTATTAAAAAGGAGGCTACAGTTATTTTTACTCAAGAGTCAATCCTAGTYGTGCTAAATGTCTGCATGAATCTCCTTGCAGAGAAACTGAGGAGTCCAGTGGTGATGTTTTGTGATACCCCACATAGACACAGGCAGGAGTGAGGAAGCTTCTCTCACGGGAAGAGCTGAATGGCTCCGGGCACTGGAAGGAGAGGAACGACGGTGGTAGCAGAACAGAGTCCTCACCRTGAACCATACAAAGGGCTCAGGAATTAGAAACAGCAGCATGAGGGCTGCCTGCCTCTGTTTTTATGTCTAAACACGAAATTAGCCGTCACATTTGTTTTTTCAGTGTTAAATGGGCATGGCAGCTTTATACTAAGTAGACAGGAATGGTACGTGGTGCGGGATCCTTTTCACGGAGCGTCTGCCCTTCCCGGGTGCGAGATGTTGCTGTGCGGCGGCGGGGCCCTGCCCTCGCTGAGGGTGTCTCTCGCCCCAGGTCAGAAGAACTACCGCTGCACCCTCTGCGACAGATCCTTCACGCAGAAGGCTCACCTGGAGTCGCACATGGTCATCCACACGGGCGAGAAGAACCTCAAGTGCGATTACTGCGACAAGCTGTTCATGCGGCGGCAGGACCTCAAGCAGCACGTGCTCACTCACACGCAGTAAGTGGCGCGCGGCCGGGGATCATCACCGGCATCGAGCGGGGCACGGGGCGCTGGGCACCGCTCAAGCTCGGCAGCCTGGCTAGAGGCTCCAGCTTGCAAATCGCGCGGTCTGGGGACAGGGGATTCATCCTCTAAAATGAAGTGCATGTTTTCTTCTTCTGAAAACTGATTCCAAGCCCCAAGACCATTAAAAATCATAAATTCCTGAGGAGTTTCCCCGAGTCACCCATTAGCGCAGCCTCCTGCTCTGTGCCCAGGAAGCTCCTGCATTCCCAGCTGTTCTGTCCCGTGCGGCTCTCGGTCCACTCCATCCCTTTCTGCCAACGAGATCCTCCTCCCCTGGCCTCCTGCCCAGCCCCTCAGCTCTCTGCCAGGCCGGATCCTTCCCTTGGCTTCAAGAACCTCCTCCCTCGGTGGCAGCGCGAGTGCCTCCTGTCGCGGCTGCTTGCCCAAGGGCAGCCCTCGAGCTTGCCCAAGGGCGGCTGCTGCTGCTCGCGCTCTGGGAACTCGCTGGCTGCTGCCGGGGCGCGCAGCGCGACCGCGGCTCCGCGGCGCCGGGTCTGCACGGGCAGGGCCGGAGCAGCGGCGCCCGCGGGAGGCCTTTGGCACAGGCAGCGTTCGAGGGCCCCTCGCTGGTGAGCCTGTTCTTACATGTGTATTCTATAAAGAATAATCTTCATGTGCTGGCCAGGGAATAAGTAGGAGGAGTTTGATCTTAAGGGAGAAAAAAAAAAAAACACTTTTTTTCATTAGTTTATCATTTGGGAAGAAGAAAAGTTGGKTGCAAGCGAGCAGCTAAGCCACAAAACCTCAACTTTTACCAGAAGTCTTGTGGGAGTTACGGTCTTTGCTCACATGCTATTTTTGTTAATACTGTACTGTTTTTTTTCCTCACTCCAGTACTGCGGTATTGCTGTTAGCTGTGGACTGTTTCTTCAAACCTCCAAAAGCCAAAATTGAGAAAGCAGAAGCACCCTTCTATTGGCATTCTCACCACTTACTTCCCCACTGCTTACGCCAGTGGCAGTTGCCTTTTTGCAGAAGTGACCTGTAACTGTTCTGTGTCTTGCAGAGAACGGCAGATCAAGTGCCCCAAGTGTGACAAGCTCTTCCTGAGGACAAATCACCTGAAGAAGCACCTCAACTCGCACGAGGGAAAGAGGGACTATGTCTGTGAGAAGTGCTCCAAGGCTTATCTAACCAAATACCACCTCACTCGCCACTTAAAAATCTGTAAAGGCCCCACATCCAGTCTGTCGGCCCCGGAAGAGGAGGAGGAGGAGGATTCAGAGGAGGAATTAATAGACTCTATGAGGACTGAAGACTGTAGAGCTAACAATGGAGTATATTCAACAGGAGATGCCCTCTCAGGACACAAATGAAGAAAGAAAGAAAGCAAGAGGGAAATGTTCTTGGATGATGAAAGTGGAAGGAAAAATCTCTTCTGTGTTTCCCCAGTCACTATCATGTCAAATGAGGAGTTTTCCTTTTGTTTTGGTCTCCCTATTACCACCACTTAAAAAAACTCTGTAGCYGAAGCGTCAAATGGGACTGGATCACGCACTTACTGTTGACAGTGAACAGTTGCTAAGAAGAAAATGGGATACGAAGAGACTTTCCCACATACACTGTGTACTTGTCTTTCCAAATCACTCCGATTATCCAGCCAGGGCCGGGATACACCTTGCAGAGCCCTTTGAGGAAGAGCCACAAACCAGAGCCATGGCTCAGTGAGCGGAGTGACCTGTGGGCCAGCTGTCCTGCACAGCCAACACCACGATGCTGAGAAAAGCAAGTGGAAAGGGATGGCAGGAGAGAGGTTGGTTGGTTGCTTGGTTTGCTTTCTCCTCTCTCTATATATACTTTTCAACTGAAGGATGTGGCTCAGCACAGAGTAGAGAATATCCTTGGTCAAGTTTCTGTCTAAGGATACAAATCCAATGTTTCAGTTTAAAGAAAGAAGGAGAAAAAAAAGCAGCCAGTGAAGTGGGTGTTTGGGGACAAAGCAAGTGCCCCATGACAGAATTGTTCAGAAAAATCATAAATTGGCTTCTGGAAAACGGTTATGGGCACTTGTTGCTCTGGGTCACCAGAACATGTGAGTGGGTGAAAGGGGAAAGACTATTGACACAGTAAGGAGGAGGCTGAGAGAGCAGTGTTTACAGTATGTATTCCTTAGTGCTCTGCTGTAAACCTTTTTACCACAGAGAGTGATGGGAGGGTTTGCTGCTATTATTATTTATGGAATGAAAGTGCATTTCATTCACTTGTTTTCCTTTTGAAAAAAAATTAAAATGTGGCTCTTTTCTAATGTTCTTTTAAAATTATTTATTCTTTGGGGAAAAAAAAAAGGGGGGGGTTATTTCTGGTATTGATGAGAGGAGAAACATCATCACTTATTCTACCTCTCCTGAGGTTTCCTGGTGCAAGGTAGGAACTCTTGCCTGAGGATGGGGGGCTAAGAAAGACCTTTGGGTCTCTGACAGTGGGGCCTTCTGCAGCTGCTGGGTGGCTCCTTTGGCTCTGCTCTACCAGGAAAACAGCTGCATTCTCTTCTTTGCCAAGAGCACTGGAGTTTTCCTGCTGAAAGAAGCTCCAGTCTTCGTCTTCCTTTTCGCCACATTCTCCATGGAGAGCGCCAGGGGGAGCACTTATAGACCTATTCTRTAGTTCCTTTGGGAATTTATCTGCTTTATGGTGCTAGCATAATGCGTACCAGTATAGAAAGCAGCAGTACATGGATGYGCATCTCCAGTGTGTTGGTATGCAAAGGAGGAAGCACTTCACAAGATAAAAATATAATCTGACATCTGGTCTAGGACACGCTGTTTATTTTAAAAGAGAGGAAAGTGCTTGGCTCGCATTCCCCACTTAGGTTCCTGCTGCTGTAAACCACAGTGGTTAAGTCGAGGGATAGAGCGATATTCAGACTGCTTCTCTGTTCCTTCAAGTTTCACACAAAACCACTTTTGAGAGATTAAGAACTCAAATACAGAACACAGATAGCAAGACAGCTGCTATCTGAGATCCTTGCGCAAGCTCTGTGTTCATCCTCTTCTGCCTAAGAGCTCCCCTTTCCATTCAAATTCTCTTTAAATATCACCYGTAGAACAGGGTGGGAGATGCACTATCAGTGAGCTCCAAGTGCTGTGGAACTGTGCAAAAGAAACTTTTGCTGGGAAAGAGGGTAGTTCTGGTTTGATCTTGATGATCTCACTTGCATTCCAGGAACTACACTGAAGACAAAAATGAACAAGAATTTTTAAAATGTATTAGAAATCTGTAAATATCGTCACAACTTACTTGAAGGATAGAGCCCTTGATTATGTACACTGGCYCTTTTTGTTCAGCATGTTTTACACTAGACCAGTTCTGTCCGAAATATTTTTCATTATTAGCCCATAGTTTTACCGTCTTTGCCACACAGGACCCACACTTCTCTGCAACACTTCCTTCTGGTGAAGACTTACAGATTGATTTGACCACCCCCTGTTTCAGGGGTCACAGTCTCAGACAGGAGCAAGAATCCTCTCAAGGCTAGTGACGGAGGCAGGAACTTTGAGCACGACCCCAGCACCATGTTTCTTTGAAGGAGATGGAGAAGGATGCAGATCACAAGACCCTCAAGTCATTTCTAGGAACACCTGCCAAGCAGGGGAAGGATGCAGAATACATGTTTATGGGCAGTCCCATGAATTACTTGGAATTGGGGAAGTCTGGTCTGTCATGATTCCATTGCTGTCTCTGAATTGTTGCTGCTACTGCTGGCCAAGGAGCTGCGGGGCACGGTGTTGGCACCAGCCAGAACAAGTCGCTCTCTGTTTCCAAAAACTTCATTCACTGCAACACAGATAAAGGAGGTTACATGTGTCCTCCCCCCCGATACAGGAGCAGTACAGCAGGATTAACATCACAGAATGGAAATCCTAATCTGATGCAGTTTGCAAAGCTCTGCCCTGTTTCCCAGGACAGGGAGTTGAAGTTCACATGTCRGAACAGGCTCCTATATCTAATACTTAAATTACAAGTCCTGTTCTTTCTCACCAGGAAATCTTGAGGTTTTCCTGTGCTTAAGTATGAATGGACTGTGAAAGGGATGATGAGGTTGGAACAGCAAAACATTAAGCTTAAGATGATTTAATTCTGGTTTTAGTCACTAGTTTTGACCAACCTCCTAAAGCTTTCTCCAAAACTCATGCCATTTAGTCAAATGCAACTGAGATAACTGATCAAAACCAGGCCTCATTTTTGTTCCTACAGGAACCCCAGTATATGATAATGTTTCTGGTGTAATCAAGGTAAAGTTACATACACAGGTTTTAGGAGAAAGCAGGTATTGTATTTCTGCTGCAAGGAGAGATAAATGTGCAATTCTTAAAACCCCAAACAAACAAACAAAAACCATCTACTTTTTTAAAGCTGACAGCATGAGAACATATCCCCTCTGGGTATTTCTTTAAAAATATCAACCTATAGTTTCTCTCCGAACCACATTTACTGAATAAGCAATTCACCCCGAGRGCAGTGGGCGAGCCACAAGACACCAATAAACAGGCACGTTACCTGCAGAAATGCTGCTTATGTCCCAGACGCGGAGCCCCTCGCGCTCTCCCCCAAAAGCAAAGACGAAGGGCAGGTCAGGGCAGCAGGCTGCGCAGAAGAGCACGCCCTGGGAGGAAGGGGAGACAACAGGCCCTGGGTTGGTCTTTTAAGTCAGTTACAGGGACTTCTTCAACTACTTCAGCAGCTAAGTTTACCAGATGAAAGCTTGGCTGGTTCCTCAAAACTGAGTTCAAAGTACTTTAAAGAAAGAGTGAATCCCTGCTTTGCCTTGACAGGTACAGGTTAGAGGATGCAGAGTTCTGCTTCACAACCCTGCAGCCCGTGTAATGGTCCAAGGCTTCGAAGCAGAGTCGGCTCTATGTTGAATTGAATATTGCACTGCAAGGAGAATGATTTACCTGGAATATACACTTTTAAATGTAATTTTTTTTCTTCTAAAGTATGTCAAGTTATGAAAAGAGACACAAGTTAGGAAAAAAAGAAAAAAGATTACACAGACATAGTTCATATTCAAGCCTCCTTAGAATCAAGCGATGAAAGTTACTTTACCATTTTCATATCCCTAGAATGGACCARATTTGGTTTCTCTCCCAGGATATCCCAGATCTTCACGTATTTGTCTGCAGATGAGGTCACGAGGCACCCCCTGACCTGACTGCTGAGCTGCAGCCCTGGGGGATGGAGCAGAGCATGAGGCAGCGCCCGCGCACCCCGTCACCCRCACAAGGACACGCTCCGAGCCAGCCTCAGAGCCCCCAGGGCAACGGGAGCTTCAGGCTGCCTTTGCTCCCCCAGTGAAAGCAGTAACAGTCCCACGGGAGCTTCAGTAGGGCTCCTTGCGCAATGCAAAGATGTTACTCCTCTTACTCCACACAACTGGGCTTCGCCAGGCAGCTTTCCTCATTCCTTTCCCAAAGACCATCACTCTTGCTGCCCTTGACAGGGTACCTTCACCATTTTGGACAACGGATCTGGTGCTCTGAGCTGATTTTTAGAAGCTCCTACTGTGGTCAAGCTATTGAAGCAAACAAGGCAGTGTAAAGACCATCCCATGCCTTATATCCAAGCAATCTCCTAAGTGAATACCAGATGAAATAATTCTGGATCTGACAGGTAGGCGTTACAGTTGACAATCATCAACTTTTATTTTTAGCCTAGCTTCCATAGTTTTTGTCCTTTGGCAAGGACAAAGCAAGGACTTCCCTTACAACAGCTTCTCAGCAGAAACCTGTTTCATGGGCCAGCACGATTAGAACCCATAATCCTTGTTAAGCAAGTGGCCACTGCCCCGCAGCTGTGCTGGCTGGAGGCATCTCCCAGCAGTGCATCCCCCCACCATCCACACAACAAAAGAGGCACAACGTACCTGACACCTCTTCCTCGTGGGCCTTCAGGGTGAAGAGCGGCTTTTCGGCGCGCGCATCCAGGCAGTACACAAAGCCGTCCTCCGTGCTCGCCTGCGGAAGGCACAACACTGCAAACAGCAGCCACAGGCGTTCACCTGAAAAGGCTCCCACGAAATAAGTGCCCACGGGGGCCCCGAAGCACATGGCTCATCGGACTGGCGCTGCTTCCCGGCAGGGCACCTTACCTGCCCCCTGAGGTCAGGCTTGGGCTGGTACCCGAGCTCCTTTGCTACCCAAACCACGCGGCGCTGAGGCACCTGCAAGTCTTACCCTGCACAAACTCCTTACTTCACATTTTGAAGAAGGCTCTGGTACTAGGCTTGGTTTTGACATCAGGTAATGAAATACAGAGCCTTTTGTGCCAGCCAGTGGCTGCATAAGTGCAAAGTTAAACTCGATTTTACTAAGATGGATCTACATCAAACTCAACAAACCTGAGCAACTCTAGTTGCACAAAGCAACAGAATAAAATGGAGCGCAGTTGAGACAATAGACAGGATTTAAAACAATTATTTTTGATTAAAAGTTTTATAATAAGGATTTCCAGAGAACAAGGTACTTTCACTCTACACCAGCTAGGAGGAGAGTGCCCTCTGGTGCCGATGGGAAGCACTGAGTTAGGATTATGGATCTTAATTCTCRTAAACTGCTACTCAGCTGCAATGGCCTTTTTGCATGGATCTATGGGGACTATCCAGAGGAAAACACATCCCAGCCTTGCACACCGTGACAACACGGCAAAGGCACCACTCCTACAGGGATTAAAAGATCAGCACAAATTGCTTTTCTTCTATCACAATGAAGAGATGATAMAAAAGAGTAACCAAACCCAACACACATGTTGAAAAAGACACCCTAAAAACACCCCCAACTTACACACATTTCTAAACCAGACAACACTGAGAGACCCACTCTCCAACAGCCTCATTATATGATTTAGGAACACCATGAACCCTAAAATCCCGGTTAAATAAACGAGGAGAGCCAGCAGAGCAGAAGCAGAGGCGTGTGCACTCACCAGGAAGTTACAGGGMGCGAAATGATTCCACACGACCCGCTCCACCTGGCCGCTGAAGCGCCACGTCCGGTGCGTCCCTCGAGGGCTTCGGCAGTCGTAGAGCACGGCTGACCTGCGGGAAGGGAGCCCACATGAGCGGTCGCTTCCAGACCCTTCGGGAATTCAGCTAGAGAACGTGATTCGGTGGAACTTGTTTCTATCCCTGTCCTATGGAGGACCCACGCAAATTACAATTCTGATACTGAAATGGGAGCAAATTCAACACGTAGTCTTCCAGATCATAACGGATAAAAGAAACTCTCTTATGAGCACAAGCTGCGATGTTTCATGCTGGTTAGAAACAGCAGTTCTTCTGAGACAAAGCAAAGAGAGCTCCAGTTTGCTCAATACACAAGATACTTATCACATAGGAGACCCTAATTATGCAAACATATCACTTAATTATGAACAGACTTTATTAAAGTAATGACTGCTCAGAATAATGTACTAATTAGGAAATCAGTGTGTGACATATACACAAACACTTTCAAATATGCCTTAATCAAAAAAAAAACCTTTGAAAGTGTTCAGGGAGATGTTATTTTAACAAGGACAAAGCAGCTGGGATTCAGCAGGTCCCTGGAGCTCTGTGCTCAGCCCAAGAGGGGGCAGAATTTGCTCAAGCTCCAAAATGTCCTTCAGGCTCCTGTAGGAGAGCAGAGATGCTGGCCCCCTAGTGACACCTTAGCCAGAATCCACAGTAAAAGCCATTCTCACCCCATCCCATAACTAGCCAAAGAAATCATATTTCTCAGTTCTTTCACCAGGCTAATTGTAATTCTAATTGTTCTTAGAACAATTTTAGCACGTAAGCAATTCCTAATTGGTCTTTCACATTATGAAAGGATCTGCCCACATTCCTTGAATAATCTGTGGCCAGCTTTACAGAAGCCTACAAAGAGAGCACCCTGGCTTACAGGTGCTCGAGAGAGTGACGGACTAGCTGAGCAGCAATGGGAGAGCTGCCCCCAGGGCTGGTTTGGCCAAGTCTRGGCAAGCAGGCACGAGGGACGTGCTTTCTATACAGGAGCTGCCATTATGCCAATATGCCACTTTGGCACGGCAAGTTTCAGGCCAAATGGTTAAAGGAGTTGGCCACTCCTGAGAAAGAAGCAAGGACAATTGCATATTTTGGTCATACTCAAACCTGGCTACCTTACTGGGGAAAAAAAGTACTCAAATTTGGCAGAATTATAAGCAATTGAAATACGAAAACATGAGGCAACTTAATGGGCTTAATTCAATGTTTATAGCCACCCTCAGTATAACATCTGAAAACATTACCCTTGCTTACTTATCATAAGATCCAGAAATAAGGGTCTGAGTCTCAAATGGGTGAAACTGCAATGTCTGAACCTATAGGAGAGGAAAATATATATATTTAACATGCGCATATGTAGGATCTCTCGCTGAGCAAGCATAGCACAAAAGGAAAACACTTTCTCAAAAATATTCCAGTAAAGCTTGTTGAATCTCTCATTCTCCATCAAAAAAATGCAAGCAATCATTTTTAGTTCAGGCACCACCACCCAGGAGGAATTAAATACTGGCCAGTGGCATTTAACTGAGCAAAACCACATGTCTGTCCCCTTTGTACCTCAAATAGTAAAAACGAACAGACAAACAAACAAATAAAAACCTGGAACTGGTAGAAAAGCTGCCTCGGTTTCACACACACAAAAAAAACATATATTAGCAAGAGGAAAAATAAAAAATCAGCAGTTTGCCAAAGGCAGTGACTTTGTTAAAAGCAAAGGTTACAGCTATAAATAGCCGACTTTCACATTTTAATTACTGTGAGATGGGTTCGTTTCTGAAATACCCACCACTATGGTATTTTGCTGTCATTTATTTTAAAATATACTCATCCAGAACAGATTGCAACTGACACTCACTATTTCCGTAAAAGACGGTTACAATTTGGCCTATTCTCAGGGATCTATTTTTTGTAGCTTTTACCAGCCCTATGAGATTCCCAATCATGAGGGTTTATACAGAAGCGTTTAAAAAAATAATAATAATGTGAAGTTTTCCCTCCGTCTTTCTAACTGATAAGCTAAATAAAACTTCTGGAAGTGCTGTCCACAACAGCAACTAATTCAGAAGTTGGAAGAATTCTGCACAATTTTGCGTGTTTTTTTTTGGAAATTACTGACTTGATGTTTGAAGAGTTCACTGACCAGCAGTAATGAAATAACTCACAGTATTTTTCTCCATATTTTACAGTGGAAGAAACATAGCTACAATTACGTACCTTGTCTGTATGTGATGTCAGGCTGGCTGCTGGCTTTCCCACGGACATATCCCACAGAATCACAGTACTGTCAGCGGATGCACTTGCTAACACGTTCCTGATAGCCAAAAATGTATTTTTAAAGTATTTTACGGACACAAGCAAATAATAATCAAAAATCCCAAATGTCCCACAGAGTCTGATTCTGAGATCAAGTACACTCTGGTCTACAGTCTGTATCTTTCAAGCATGAGGAATAACTTCCTGAAAGGAACTGTAAATTATAAGCAAGGACTACAAAGGGACCATATTATATTGAATTAGTAGAAGAGTTTCAATACAAAGTCAACAGTTTTGCTCTTATTTTTGGCAACATGCCTTAAAAAAGAAAAATTACTTACTGGAAGCTTTTTTTAAGCAAAGCAAGGCTTTGCTGGACACTTTTTTTTTTTTGAGGCATTAAGAGAGTATTTTTAAATGTTACTTAAGCAACTTAGGTTTGTTTCTATATGCACATGCCAAAAGCCAGAAACTTATTTTTAACAAAATATTTCACTCTCTGGCATGTTAGCATTATTAATAGCAGCCCAATATTGAACTCCCTGCACAGAAGGCTCCAAATCAGAGCAATTACTAACGATTCACAATTAGGTTACAGAAACCACCTTCCAACTTAAGTATCAACTATGCTAAGAGCAACAGAGGCAGCTGAAAACTTTATATTGATAAAGCCCAAAACACTCACAAAGGTCCGTCAGACAAACACACAGCACAAGCACTACCAGTGAGCTCTTAAATACAGATCTATTTCTCTAACAAGCTGTTTCTGTTTGAAACTGGTCCTTCCRCTCCTCATATTCTACTGAGGTGTTTCCATCTTAAAGAGGTGACTTTCTCCTCAAAATGCTGTTCTTTTGAACCATGTTGAAAGGGACAGTTAAGAACAGAGGCRATGGAAGCTAGGCCAACGTTTTGCAGGAACATCGCTATGACCTACAGACAGAAAGCTRCTTACAGAGAGCTGTCACAGCATGACCTGCTTTACAAAATTGCATCTAAACATGAGGTGCYTCAAGCTCTTCATTTTGTACAAAACTTTTCCCTTTCAAGACAGTTTCTTTTGCTCCTCGAGGATCTACTGGTATGAATGAGTTTGTAATCTGGTTTATATAAAATTATATATTCCAGACACTTAAGAGTTGTCATTTCTGTGACTTGGCTAGATACTGCCATCAGCCAACCACTTCCAGGCAACGTGAAATTAACTGTTTCATATGAGTGATGGAAAGATCATACTCTGTGTGCACATATATATGTATAGAAAATTGAAAACAACAGACGGCACAGTAAATTTGGAGTGCAATTTAGGTATGTTTCCTGAATGCCTAAGGGGGTGGTTCCTCCTTCAGTGTCTAAATAACAAGAAATTTTAAAGTGCAGGTTGACACTTGCTGATCAGGAGCATGTGGAAGTCATCACAGGCATCTTCAGAGACATTTATGACAGYGGAGGAAAAAAATAAAAAAGCAAGTCTGTTATCTGACTGTTATCTCACTGGAACATGAGTTTCAAGGTCCAGGTCACAAAAATTCTGACAGCTGCACTGTTAAAATGACCCAAGTGAACTYGTAAATAAATAATAATAAAAGCCTCTTTACTTCAGTCAGCACATTCACTGGCCTTGACCTGTCCCTCAAGACGAGCCAACTTTGTGCGCAGTAGCAACGTTTCATTACCCATTCATTTAGGCAATGGAGAATCTCAGGCTCAGACAATCCAAGAAGTCAGAGGCATTTCTGTACTTAAGCTACTACTGCTTTATGTTCTCCCTTTACTCYTCCCCCTCCTCAGAGCACTGGGGCCGAAGTCAGAAGAGGAACGGAAGGCCAGAAGGGAGGACTGCCAAGGAGCTCCTACTRTAATAGCTACCTCTGCCTGCTGAAATGGCATTTCAGATCATCAGCAAAGTGGCACAGGTCAGGGCAGCCTTTGTGCTCCTCCGGTTTGTACATCTATTTAAAGACAGCTGATTCATCAAGTGTCTTGGACCCACCTTAGCTTAAACTCTGATTCATTCTAATGCCATTCTCAAGCTCAAACTTACAATACATAAGGCTTTGGATTTCTGTGGAAAATGCATGCGTAATTTAGCATGCTAATTTGTAACCATCCACTGGATGTTACTGAAGAAGTCATTTACCTGCTTTGCTTATTCCAAGAGAGGTCAAGCACAGCATCAGTGTGCCCTTCCGCTGTCCCTTCTGTAGATAAACCCTGTGCATGGGGACACAATTTAAAAGAGACTTTAGTGCCTCAGAGGAAATCAAGTATTTGACTGAGTCGCAGGAAAACAGCAGTTGTAAACTACTTAGATAAAACCACAGTGTTACCTTCTATAACGCACCTGGACATCAACTTTCTATAAGACAGATATGATTAAACTAGACTGCACATGGTTTCCTTTTTTTTCAGTATAGAAAAAAAAGAAAATATGTCAACCTTGCTCAGAATTTCTGCAATCCAAGAAAATGGGCATCTTTGCAATGCTTACTTTCTTTCCTTTCTTCTTCTTCTTTTTCTCTTTCTTGTTTCCAAGGGAAAAGACTGGCTCTAAGGAGTCCACTATATCAAGGTCCCAAATATCAATAACTGGGGTCATGTTGCCTACTGCAACATAATTTCCTGCAGAAAGAAAACCAAATGCATTACRAAAGAGCATATTCAGCAATCTAGTTGCTGCTTATTTCTTTAATTAAGTAACATTTACCCTTATGTTCTAGAATTATCTATTTAAAGATTTGTCATSCTTAGAACTGACAAAGACCAATTTTTAAATATTAACTGTCAAAAGACRTGGTCAGAAAAATACAACTTGCTCTCCAGTACACTCTTTCTTTAGCAAAATTAATTGTTTAAAGAAGCTGCACAAAGCTCCACATTCGAGGGAAGAAAAAATATATCAGCACATTCCATGTGAGATGAAAATATTCTGTGAAATACAGGGAAAGATGTCACTAAATACAAAAGTACATATCAATTTGCTTGTGCTTTAGAGATGATTAGTGAGTCTGAGCAAAATCAAGTTTTCATTTGTAAACCAAGAAAAGAAGATTTTTTTAAAAGAGCTTTACCTGAGTTGCTAATTAAYAACAACTTTACTATTTGCAGTAAAACCAAGATTTTCATTAAGTCGGGTATTATGACTATATCACCAAGTCTAAAGAGAAAGGATATTCATTTTTTCCTCCTCTTAACATCTAGGTTTTATTTCTCTGCTAGTATCCCTGGAGGAAACTATATAGCAACACTACATTTATATGCTTCAAATAAGAATGTTTTTATTGGACACATGCAGTCTCCTTTGTCATTCATTTACCTGATGACTCATTAGGATTAGGATCAAAATTCAGCCATTCCAGACTCAGAGGATATGCAGGCAAAATAATATCATGATGTACATAAAATGAGTCCTCATCATGATTATAAACTGAAAAACAATTAAAAGATATTACATCCACAAAGAGCGAGAACAAGCAGCTATAAAGAGTTCATTGCCACAAAAGACACATATGGCAAACTTGGATATGACCCGTGCTCTGGGTGTCCCTACTGGAGCAGGGAATTGGACTAGATGATCTCTACAGGTCCCTTCCAACATCAGCCATTCTGGGATGCTGTGAAATATTAAATTCTTAATAAGATTTAGAATGCAAACTTACATTGTGTTCAGAGTTTAACATAAGGCCAGAGCCTCCATTCAGTAGTGTTACACCTCCCAGAATTATGCAAAATAAGCAAACATTCTTGAGAGTGCTTTATGTAAGAAACCTAAGAATTCAGCAAAGTTTAAGCACTTTATTCCTAAYATCCTCTATTGTTTTTTGCTTGCAAGAGCATCTGAAATATGTTGCATATACGTATTACTAAAAAGTATTGCCTTTTGTGCATTAAAAGACAGTAATAAAGTTTTAAAGACTTATTTCATAGAGTAAAAAATGAAATAATTTCAGGTTCAGTCACATGGGAAATGGGAGTAAGTAAAGACAGTTTCCAAATTGGAGGAACTTGGCGGAGTCGGAGGAAGTTACCATTAACAGGGTGTAACTGAAGTACAAGAAGCATTTTGGTAAAGCARCTCTATACTAAACACAACATACTCTTTTGCCAAGTATTTTTCTCCTAATAGAGAACAACCTAATTTATCCAGATAGCAGATAAAACCTACCAGAAATCTTAACAACATGGTATCAAATCATCATCAGATATACACAGAGAAAACATTTAAATAAGCTAAGAGAAAGCAAGGGAAAAAAAAAACAGGACACTTGCAGGGTCTAGATAGGAAGAAAGTCAGGAAGAAAGAATTGTATGTTTGGAGAATAGAAAGCCTTAATATTTTCTAAGTGTTAGTAGGAACATAAGGAAAGCAAAAGTTACATAGACTGACAAAGGTTAACTACGCTCCTGAGTAACATTAGCTCCACATGGCAAACTCTGTTTCTGGAAGGTGGCTGAAGCACCAGGGCATAGGAAAGATGACTAAATGTACAGGG